GTATTGGGTGCTAAGAATATCCTGTAGTAAAACATGAAACTGACCCACAGGATCACTGATTTTCAGAGACAGGTAGAAAACCAAATTCCATCATGCTTATAACATGGAATATGCCTTGATACTTGAAAGGAGAGGAAAAAGAGGGTACTTCTTATTACCTACAATAGACAATTCACTTAAACAGGATAAACACAGAGAAGGCTCAACTCCCTATGTAGTCATGGGAGAAATACAGGTTAGCCTCTACTAACTATATTACCACAAGACAAATCAGCAGAAAACCTATTTCTGGACACATGCACATTTGTGCATATGTGAAAAGATAAGAAGATTAATAACAGCTCAACAAGCAAAATGATGCTGAAAGGGAATTTTTTATCTTCTTCACCTCTCACACAGTTTTTTGTAACGACCTAACTACCTCTGCACACGAGGCATGCACACAACTGGACTTACCTGATGCTGTGCCACAACAAGGTGGTACCCACCAAGCTGAGGAGAAGATGCTTGTGATCACGTCAGGGGGGAAGAGAGTAACATTCCTCTGGATCTGAAGCAAGTTTAATACTAATGCAAGAAATACACCAATAAAAAACAGCACTACACCACGAATTACCAAATTCATGCCACGACTGGTTACAGATGAAATGTATGGGCCACACTTTTTTGGTAAGGTTGGCATTGCATCATTTTCTGCCATGACTTCTTATGTTATCAGAGGCATCCAAGAGGCTGACTGAGGATTCCCTTGCAATCAGTATTTTGACTCTCTTCAATTAGGAGACACCCAAACCCTGAAAAATAATAAAAAAGGATGAAAATGCAGAAACATTACCTGCACTTCACTTTAATTATTTGGAGACCGGGTGTAAAAAAAATCTATTATATTTTTTCTGAATTTTCTGATGAGGCAATTAGTCCTTTGATAGCAGAATCAAGCACAGCTGCAAAAATGTCTTAMAAAGGAAACAAAGGTTTTACAAATAGTTTTGTCTATTATGAGACAGAAGAAGAAACATGTGGAGTAGGACAGCTTCAAATGGGAAAGCACATTCCAGGAGGTGAAGAAATGACACTGGTATCAAATGGAAGAAAGGCTTGCTTTGCAGTAAGAATAAATTGTTTTTCTCCCTTCCTTTAAGCAACAACTGGAGGTTATATAATTCAGCAGCAAGTAAACACAGCCCTCAATTCCAAGTCAGCCACAGAGGTTCGGAGATCTCTCATCTTGAACAGACACCAAAAATCATTTCTCAACTGGAAAGTGAAACCTGAGAAGTAACTTTCCAGCTGGAGTCAATTTCAGCAATCCTGCAGCACATATGTTTTGTAACCTCCAGTAAGAGCAAACAGCTCAACAAACCACAGCAAAAACTTCAACAAAGAGAAAYATTCACCAAAGCAACACACACTTCTGGTGAAACTGCCATATATTACTATAAACTTTAACTGTAATCAGGCACAGAAGCACCTGAGGGCAAAGGAAAAGGAGCTCTACCTGCCCGCGCACTGGGAAGTCTCTGACACGAGTAACTGCCGGCACTACAGGAATGGCAGCGTTCCCATCCCAATCCCTCTTTTGAAAAAAACCTAAACCTGTCCATCAAGAGTCTTGTTATACATGGATTCAGTGCCACATTCATGTATAACAACGATTCTGATCGACAGCTTAGCCACCTGGAACTTCAGAAAAAAAGCCCTGACATTGTTTTTAAATTTGAAACTGCCAGTTGGTGGCGGCTTCTGTTAACTCTTATTTATGGCACATGAGGAGCCAAACCAGAACATCCATCCCCCTTCCTCTTGGCTCCAGTCGATCCCTAGGAAGCTCTCTAAAGATACAGCAGCAGAGCAGAGGGCTCAACATTCATTCACTTCTGCTTACTGAGAGCCAAAAGGGGCTTTAAATATATCCAGGCTAGTTAAGATACTCCAGTCAAGAGTGCACAGAAGATGTGATGCCACACCATGGCATCCTCCATCACATGGAAAAAGTTCTAACAGGCATTAAAAAAAAAGAAAAAAAAAAAGTTCAGTACAAAACTTCCCACTGGCAGTTTGGGGAGGCAGCAGTGTCTTTTTAAGAATACAGGATCTCTTCTGCATAGCCAATTCCCTGCGTTACTTGTAATCATGAACACACCTTGGCGGGGAAGAGAACAACCACGTGTGGGCTTTTTAGTCTGCTTCCTGACTCACACTGCCAACCTTGATGTCTGCATCAAGGCTGGCACTGGCACTGCCACACACTTCCTCCAAGCAAAAAGGAGGTGCCCCAAATGGTGCAGTGCTGGAGCTCCAATTGGAGCTTTAGCCTCCAAGAAAGAAACCACAGTCACAAACACATCACCATTTCAGCTGAGAGTCTCTCCTGTGTCCCTCGGGGCTCTGCCCACCAGGTGATCACAAGAATTCTCAGAATTTACAGGAGTCTTTTCAACTCATGGCACTGGAGGCTGTAGCTCCCAATTACCAGCTGCAGGAACACTATGCCTAACAGGGGCTTTCAAACTTTTTATGYCCCTTTTCAGCTTTAGCTTGTCTAGGGAAACAAGCTAAACTTTTTACCTTCCACTTGCTTTGCCATCCCAATAGATCTTGGTATTTCCTGAAGTCTGCAAATTTATTTTTTTAAATGCTTGACCAAAGCTAATATGCAAGTACACACTTTTATATCTCTCTTTAATGTGCATTTTTGCAGCACACAGGATCAGAGTTTCTTTTTTCAGTCATATAATGGTTTGCTCACGTCCCATGACTCTTTACTATACTGAAKTCTCTCTTCTTTGCTGTTACTGAAGTTATTGCTCCCCGGTACCAGCTCCAGACCTTGCACACTGCATTTCAGCCTGTAGGTGTTACTGAACTCTTGCACTCAATGCTATTCCATTTTTCCTGCAGGATCTCTCAGTCCTCTTTGGCCCTATAAATGGTTGTCAGCTTTCAGCAAGCATCTTACTGCATCCTATTTTGTGCACCAAGGTTACCAGGTAGAACAGAATCATGGGATGTTTTGAGTTGGGAGAGACTTTAGAGATCATCTAATTCCATCCCCAAAATACTGAGAGAGATCAGCCCAAGTCTCTACCTCTGATGAAATCTATTAATAATCTCCCTGCAGTGATTATTTTCCCATTTTACACTCTCTTGGTATTTTCCTCTAACAAGACTCTGCTTCTTATAATTCTTCAACTACAGGAATCTTCAGCCTAATTAAGAATYATCAACTGTCCCACATGGCAATACTGATGTAAACACTGATTGGCTCTTATTGGCTTTTTTTTTTCTAGAAATGCTGATGATCAAATAGAAGTCCAATTTTATTCTGGTATAAAATAATCACTTTCAGTCCATAAATCCTGCATTTGTATAATTTCCATTTTTAACATACCATTCAGCAAATACATATGAAATTGTGAAGGCTAATCTAAATGTAACAGAAAGGAAATCACTTTCTGCTTTTACACAACCACTGCAGCTGTGAGTTATACAAGGCACCAGCAATATATTATTATTAGCAGGTAAACAGCCTGGCCACAGCGAGGGCACCTGGGTGTGCACACATTGACAGATGTTTATCCAAAGTAATGCAAGGTCTGAAACCAGCATGATGCAGTAGTTTCCACCTGGTAGTTTCTCAACCTACACAAATCATTCCTGGTTGTTTTACCAGTTTCCAMATTTTCCATTGACCCTAAGACTTCTGGCATGCCACACAGCAACAGGGGAACAGAGCAAAGTGATCAATGCTCAGGAAAGATTCTTTAGTGCCTCAGACTGCCTGGGCRCACAGTGCTCTGGCACAGCAAACTATATACTATCATCACCTCTCATAGAAACTAAATTAATATCTCTAAAGACATCACTTCCTTCTGACTGGAATGCTACTGTTCCTGCAGACAGAGAAGATCATCTATGCTTTTAAGCCTTATGTTTTACTGCACGGTTTCTTCTCAGATAGGAACAGATCAGAACATATTGAACCAACACGACTTCCGAGCCTCCATCTCTCGGGAATGCACATTCACAGCTGTAACACCGCACCGAAAGCTGCAGGCTTGGCACTGCCAGAGTCTCAGCTGCACTTCCTTCCTCGCTGGCACACACGGATTCAGCCCGAGCTTTTCAACACCCGTGCACCATACAAGACTTGCAAGGCAGCCACACGGCGTCTGGCATTGCGCAAGAAGTTAACAAGTAAATTATCACCCTAGACATTTTTCAAAACACTTAGTCACTTAACTGTCCCCTAAGGAGAAGATCCGTCCTGTTCCCCCGTGCTCTCCCTGCGCACCGGGAGCGATTCACAACTTCTGACACCACACAACACACCGGGCACGGCGCGGCGTGGCCAAGAACGACAAGATTTATTCAGGCAACACCACGCAAGAGATGGCAAGAAACCATCTGTGTGCGGCTAGGCAACACCAAAAGCAASGCAAACCATCGCTTCTACAGCCATCGGGCGCGGCCGTTGTGCCCCGTACCCCGGGCCGAGGCAGCCCTGCCCGCCTGGCAGAGGTACCCGGTTGGGCCCCGCACGGCCGGCGGAGGGGCCGCGGGCCCAGGGCAGCCCCGCCGGGCACAGGCTGTCCCGGCTGCCGGGAGAACGGCCCCGCCGGCCTCTCCCTCCGTCGCCCCCGGCCCGGCCGCCCGGCCCCACCGCCCCGAAGCACCGCCCCGGCCCGCGGGCAGTACGGAGCCGAGGGGCGCCGCTGCCTGCCCGCCCGGCCCGGCTCATCTCCCCCGCCCGCAGCCCCGCAGCCCCGCAGCCCTGGCCCAGCCCGGCCCCTCCGCAGCGCCGGGACTCACTCGGCCTCCGCCATCTTCCGCAGTCCCCGCCCCGCGCAGCCTCCGCAGCGCCCGCCGGGCCTCGGCCGTGCCGGGCAGGGGCAGCGCGGGGGGAGCGGGGATGCTCCGGYGGGAGCCGCCCGCACCGCCTCGGACAGGCCCTGGGTACCGCAGCCGGGGCTCTGCAGCACGGCCAGAGCAGCGCCACGGCGTTTGTAAGAGGAGCACTTCAGCTGGAGTGCTGGGTGGGGTGTTGGGCACCACAGCATAAGAAAGGCATTGAGCTGTTAGCGTCYAAAGGAGGCCAAGAGGATGGGGAAGGTCTGCAGGCCGAAGGTCTGAGGAGCAGCTGAGGGCACTTGGTTTGTGCAGCCTGGAGAAGAAGGGACTGAGGAGAGGCCTCATCAGGGTCTTCAGAATCCTCACGAGGGAAAGTGGTRCCTGTCTCATCCCTTTCATGAGCCGTGACAGGGCCTGAGGGAATGACCTGAAGGTGAGTCAGGCGAAGTTTAAGCTGGATATCAGGAAAATGTTCTGCACCCAGAGGGTGGTTGGGTACTGRAACAGGATCCCCAGGGCAGTGGTCACAGCACCAAGCCTGACAGAGCTCAAGAAGTATTTGGATAATTCTCTCAGGTACATTGTGTGATTGGGGGTGTCCTGAGCAGGGCCACCCTTGTAGGTCCTTTCCAGTTCAGGATATTCTGTGATTCCATGACACGCTAGGAAAGTTGGGCTTGTTCAGCCTGAGGAAAAGAAGGTAGTCTCAAAGCAGCCTTCCAGTACCATCTGAAGGGGCCTACAGAGGAGCTGGAGACTGACCGTTCATCAGGAACTGTGGCGATAGGTCAAGGAGTAATCAGTTGAAATTGAAAGGCAGGAAATTTAGGGTAGATATGAGGAAGAAATTATTTACTGTGAGGTTGGTGACACCCTGGAAGAGTTGACATGGGAAGCTGTGGATGGCCCAACCCTGGCAGTGTTCAAGGAAAAGGTGGGAGCAGGCTTTGGTCAGCCTTGTCTAGTGGGAGGTGTCCCTGCCAATGGCAGGGATGTTGGGACTGGATGATCTCTACRGTCCCTTCCAACCCTAAATATTCTGTGGTTCAATAATAAAAACAAAAGCTGGATGTGTTGGGCTGTTTCCACTGTGGCCTCATTCCCAGTGGACTGGGACAGCCATGAGGGGCTATGCCACAGGCTGTTACTCATTGAGGCACAGACATAGTGGGAATGAAGTCATTCCCAGCACGGCTCTGGCCCTCCTGAACACCTGGTTCTGCAAGGACTTTCCCATGTGTGTGACTTTATTGATTGAGGCCAAAATTGTGCGTCTCCTTATCCCAGAAGCCACGTTTTCATTGCCAGTTTGAACCTCTTGGGTCAAACACAAAACCTGAAGCAGAAAACAGTTTTCTTTAGTTTGTCTTGACAATGCTAAAGACATCACAATAAAAAACCACCATTTATATATGTGGGATGTGGAGGAATAATCCTGTTACATTCATTTATACATCATATATATTCATTATAACATTACAGTAATTATTATTCTATTACTGAACTCTTCCCTTTCTCATTGCAATGATACTGAATACAATTTATTAGACATATTTGCACATTGCATTCCCCCAAGATTAGTATTTCACTGCAGGGATTTTGACAGTTTTCCCTATTACGAGGTCAGCAGTGATTCACTGCATATCACATTACAGTTCCCAAAAGAATGACTGGGTAGGATGGAATTTGTAGTTGTTTACTAGAGTGGCAACTTTATTTAGTGATGGCAACTTTATTTAGTGATAACTGTGGTTTCTTTGTGCTGGTATGTTGTGACCAACAGTGTCACCAAACATGTACAAACTCAGAGGGGAGGATATGAGTCTATAATAGACATGGTAAGAATGGTAAAGAGAGATGTTTGCAGCAGCAGAAAACCATTGTGGTTTAGATGTGCAATAAACAAATTTTCAAATCATTCAACTTTGGCTTTTGTCACACAGAAACAAAGTCTTTTTMTTCTCAGTAATTCCTGCTGAGCCACTAGCCCTGTCTGTGGTTTAGATAGTTACTTTGCTGTACTTAAACTCCAAACTCTGGATTGGGAAAGACAAAAGGTTTATATAATCAAATAAAATATCTTTCCCTAACGTCAGATAAATGCCTTTGGCCAGCTACATGCCTGAACCAGAATAAAGTGCCTTAAAGACCTCGACCATCAGAAAGCCTGAAATCAGAAACTTTGGGAACATGAAGTRTGTGCATTAGAGAGGAATATATGGCATAAGAGGATAGAGACTGCAATTGGTTTGCTCAGCCTGGAGGAGACTGAGGGGAGGCCTYATCAGGGTCTTCAACCTCCTCACAAGGAAAAGTGGAGAGACAGGTACCAAGATGTTTCCTTCTCTAGACACGTGTGAAGATGTGGAAGTTCTCCATACATAACAGAACAAAGTTCTCCATACTTCATAAGTAAAGAATTATAGAACTGGGTGCATGTTCCAGAAATGCCTTTTATCTCACTAGCTGGTTTGTGTTTTATTATCTGCAAAAGGAGGTGTAGTAGCCACCCAGGTTAGTACACAGCTTTGTCACAGGCAGAGAGCTGCACAGCTCACAGGTCCTGCAGCACACAAGGAGTTTGTCAGGCACAAAGAGCAGCATGCTGGGAACTACTCTGGGGTCTTGGCAAGAACATAGTGAGCAGTGGACAAGTTCTATAAAATTGATTTTACGATAGTGTTGGCATTGTAGAGAGGGAAGGGGAAAGAGCAGCAGTGTGAAACCATTGGAACACGTGCATTCACACATATATGAAAAGGGCTTGTGCTTATCTCATGTTAGGGGCTGAGGTAGGGGTCATCTCCAGGGGCTAGAGTCCTTTTTTTATGTGCTGAAAGGTGCTGCATGGACAAATACAGTTTGGGTTTCCCTGTRTCGCTCTGCCAGCGTGGCTCAGCCCTGATCTGGTTTCCATACTCATTCAGTACTCACTAAAATGGTCACCTAGGGAGTAAACACTGCCAGCCACGGCCATGGTTTCTGAGATAYGGAGTCCAGCCCAGTCAGAAGCTTGCCAAGATAACCTCATTGCATCACATGCCAAAGAGCTGCAAACAGCTGTAGCATTGAAGGACTGTGGCATTTAAACAAGATACTGAAAATGCAAAGTAATCATCATCACCTTAGATTGCATCCAAATGGTGAATTTAGCAATTAAAGGCTTCTTATCATATTTKTATAGCATCATGCAACATCTAGATTCAAGGGACAGACTAAATAGGTGGGACACTCACCTTCAGTGAGGCATATTTTTTTCTGTGGTAAATTCTGGTGAGAAGCAAGGACAGTGTAGAGCCTGAAGGTACACATAGAGTGGATATGAGTGCATTCTAGTCCTGTGTATGCATGCATCTGTCATAAGTGTGTCACTTGCTAAGAGTCAAAATAAGGCCAGTGCAGATTAAGTAYGAAAAAAAGGGCAAGGAGGAAATTAGTGTCAAACCAAGCTAAAAATAGACGGCTGAGTGGTTGAGGAAAATGGCATAAGAAATGCAAGCAGAAAAACTGCAGGCTGAGAACAAAAGTAGCCTCGCACAAGAATTTAAAATTTTTTGGACTTGATTGAAAATATGTTAAATGTATGTGTCATTGAAGTTAAAATGAAAATTAATATATTTAAATTTGGAAGTTCACAATTTCTCTCCCCATGAAACTCAGATTCCCTTCCTTCCTTCCTGCCTGCCTTCCTGCCTTCCCCCAGAATTTCTGTATAGTTAGGCAATCACCATGACAATTGCATTTGGAAATATTGTTGATTGAATTTATTTCTATTGGCATTGTATTTGTAGAGATACAGACTTTATACCTAGGCCTACAAAAAATACCAACAACTCATATTTTGAGATAGGGCAATAACCCRCTCCTATTTTGCCCTCCAGTGTAAAAAGGCAGAGTGTGAACCTCTCAGGCACATGTTGAGATTCTTGGGGTCGTGCTGTGCAGRCTCAGGAGTTGCACTCGATGATCCTTTTGGGTCCCTTCCAACTCAGGATATGCTATGATTCTGTGAACAAGTCAATTCCTGCAGTGTTTGCAGTCCAGAGAGAGCAACAGATTCCTCTGTAGAAAGAAATAGCACACACRGAGTGTGATCCTTGTGCTCATTTGATGTATCTAGTTTAAGTTAAAAAATCATCTTCTGGAGAGGTGTGTTTCTTTCCTTCACCTGTTGCAGATGGAAAAAGTGCCAAACTTCATGGATATCCAACTTTCAGGCCTCAGAATCAGGAGATAATGATGTTATCCTGTGTAATTTGTTCAACAGCACAGGTTATSTGGGTCAGTGTTGAGGAATGTTTGTGTTGCAGCAGTCTCAGGTACTTCCATCAGACAGCAATCRCTGCTGGCATTGACAGTGCTGGGAACAACACATTACAGAGCAGTTTGAAAAATGTCTAATTCTCTTAGCCMATGGAAATCTGCAAATCTGCAGTGACAATTCAAATACCAGAAATTCTAATTTCCAACAAATATTTCCATTTTGCAGCATTCAGCTTCCTCTCAAATTTGACCTTTCCCTCRGAGAGCATATGATGCAAATGCAAAAATAAAGGAACCAAGAGCTCACTTAGAAATGCAATTCTCCATTAAAAGCAGTTTTAATGAAATATATTCCATCAGCCATAGTTGCTTTTGACAGACAGTAAGTGATYCAGGTGCCTAAACACAGGATTCATGGTCTGTTTGAGAAATACTCTRAGGCATCCAGGATACCTGCATGGAGGTGAGGATGTGACAGCCACYTGCAAGACCCTTACCTTGCTGAGACCAGGGCTGGGGCTGGGGAGGGACACTCCAGGGCCTCTGGAATAGCATTACACACTCTCAGTTGGGCAATTAGTCTTAGAATTTCCACAATTTCAGACAATAAAAACACCCCATCTGATGCCATTACTAATGGGCTGTCAGAGCCTGGTAAAGGAGAGAAGGCAGCAGAGCAGTGCCCTTGAGTCTTGCCCTAAATCTGTGATGCTCTTTTGGCCTCTCCTGGTTATTTTACACCAGAACAGGCAGAAATTCCTGCTCTGTGCTGTGACCTCCAGCGAGTGCTCAGCAGCAGGCAGCTGGTTCACCCATCACCTCCATGCCAAGCCCCAGAGCAGGAGGCAGGTTGCAAAGCAGGGACTGCCATCAGGAGCCCTGGGAACACTCCAAGCACATGGCATGCAAGCTTGGCAAGAAAAAAGTGAAGTCTGATGTTGGGCAACCAGGTTGTGCAAGGAACACCGGGATAAATGGAGCAGTACGTGGCAATCAACTCTGTGTAAGTCTCCCTGAAGCTATAAAAAGACAGGGAGGATTAATAATTGTCTGAGTCAGCATTATTATATATGTATTCTTTAAATCTCAGGGTCACAGAGGCAACACTGGAGAGCCATGTGCTGGAGAAGGAAGACAAGTAACATAACCGGTCCAGGCTGGATGTGGCTC